CAACAGTAGCAATCTTCCGCTATCCCGCACCGCTCCTGGAGTCTCCTGGGAGGGGTTTAATACATTTGAAACATAAAACGTGAGTGAAAGGCCCAGTATGATATAATTTGAAATAAACGTTATAAATAAATGAATAATAAGTGAGCGAGGAAATAATTAAATGAATAAGTAAATAAAATAAGACATTGAGTTCCAACAGACAGTCGGAACCTCACATCCTTTTTTCTCGAAGGAAATATAACTGAAAATAACCGTTTTACAGGCTTCAGCAAGTAATTAGTACAAATTACTCACCTAACCAAGTGTCTCACCTACCCGGACCGAGTTTCAGGTTCTGCCCCCGAGGATGCACTCTCCGCATCCTATCTAGGCTTACAGCAATAGACTCTCTTACCGGTTCACAAGATCTCTTTATTAAGAAATCATTCATTAACATTCTGAAATCGTTAATATGACCCCACGAACTACTCAAGCCGCGAGCCCCATGACTAGACAAGCCATGGTTTTCAAAGCGTTTTTCTTTCGCAAACCAATCCCTTTCTTTAAAACATTTTCAAGGCCAAAATCCTTTTTGAAAACAGGCTCACAAAGAAAAGCGATAGAAATCCTACCTCGCACTATCAAACCTGGGACTAGCGTTGCCTTTTCCGGCTTCCGCTTCCTCAAGCCCCTTCAGTCTGAATCCTCAGCGATCACTGATGCAAGACAACACTTTAGGATCAATTCTCATTCCTAAAGCAATCCAAATCTCATTTATGTACTAAGATTTTCAATTAGTGTGCCCTAATCCATTTTCATGTTTCAAATTATCATTCCAAGGGTTTTCAATCTCAAATCAAGGATTAAAGATGATAATCCATTTGTCCCAAGTCCCCAAATGAAGCTAATTTGGGTTCTCCCCGAAAATATGGGTCAAACCAGCATTTTCAGGCCAAACAGGGCAAACCCGTGTGCACCGGTCGACCGGTGACAGAGCAGTGCAACACTACCGGTTGACCGGTCAGCCTGCAATCTGGTCAACCGCATAGGTCGACCGGTTTCCATGTGATCCGGTCGACCAGTGGAATCAGCTGCGCGAGAGAAGCTCACGGAAACCAGTCCAAAAACCTGCAAATCCAGTCCCAAATCCAAATATTTCAAAGGGAAACCACTAGATCTGGGTTCTAGGTCCTAAAACAAGTCCAAAGAACCCAAGATCTCCAATTTCTACCCTAGTTTTACTCAAAAACTTTCAAAATCCGGTTTGAACCAAAAATAAGTTTTGAAATTCAAAAGCTTGAGATTCAAGAGAGGTTCTTTCAGTAATCTTACCTCGAATCCTTCTCTTGACGTTGAAAACTTATTTAAATCTTTCCTTGGTTCAAGATCCGTTTGATTTGAGACAAAATGGGAGAGAAAGAGAGTAAGAGAGAGCACGGGAGAGTGAGAGAGAGTGAGGGAAAGTGAGAGAGAGAGAGAGAGGTGCACGGGAAGGAAAAGGAAAGGAAGAAAAGAAAAAGAAAAAGAAAAGAAAAAAAATGGACAAGTGTCAATATTTTAAAAGAGCAGTCCAGAAATGCACCATACACACTTCTGGTTTAAAATAAATTATTGAGAATAATTTAAATACATTGAAACTATTTAAACTCACACGTGTCAGAAACATTTATTAATTAATACTCAATTAATAATCCAGATTAGACAAACTAATAATCTCAATTACTTTAATTAATCTCAATTAATTCTTCAAGGTGTTAGAGAAGCAGTTAAAGACAGAGAAAGAAAATGACAATTTTTTAAGAAAGTTTATAGCAGATCATTTATACATGCGTTTATATATATATATATAT